TAAAAAGAATCACGGAACCCCTAAAAAATAGCTAATTGCTCTCCCAGCAAACTTCAATATTTTCCTCTCTTTCTTTTTTATATTCCTTCCTTAGTACCTAATCTTGCTATTATGTAAGGGCTTCAGAGGAACAGAATGTTGCTGAACCTAGGCAGTCCATCTGAGCAGGACTGGGGCAGGATGCACCGAGCCCAGGCAGGGGTTCCATACCTCATGCACATCGCAAAGCACAGCACAGTGGCTCTCTACCCTTTAGCACAAGGGTCTTTTAGGAGAGAAGCTAGGTGTGCAGCCACAATTATGCAGACTTACCAGTCAGCCCTCTGGGGGGGCAGCAGTAGTGCCCTGCAGAGGATAAGCTTTCTTGTCTCCTGCCCAACCTGTGCAGAATCCCAAAGTCTGGAGAATCCCCCAACTCAACACCCAACATCCAGTCGGTTTAGTGAGGCCGTGTGGTAGGTAGAGGATTTGATTCAAAACCTGAGAGTCAGAGCTAAGAACTACCCAAGGGAATTCCAGTGGCACAGCTTTTTCTGAGGTGGAAAAGAAAGGTGTACTTACTCTGAGGTGTATTTACCTGTACAGTAACTGGAGTTCTTCGAGATGCGTGGTCCCTACCTGTACTCTGCTTGAGGTGTGCTCCACACACCTGAGACAGGGAGTCTTTTGCTAGCACTGTCCGCTGGTCTGTGCCTGCACCATTCTTCTCCGGCTCTGAACAGAGGGCATAAAAGGAGGTACAGACCGACTGCGTCTCCAGTTACCCTTCTACCACAGATAGCCCTAGGCTAAGGCTCTGCAGCGGAGGGGAAGGAGGGAAGGTAGTGGAATAGAGATAGTGTAAGACAGCAATAATCGCTGAGAAATTCTGGGGGATGGGTGAAGTCCCTGAGCGCGTGTAAAGGGCAAACATAGTATCTATCATTAAAAAGGGGAACAAAGAGGACCATGGGAATTATAGACCAGTCAGCCTAACTCGAACAGGTTCTGTCTCAGACCCCAGGAGGTAGCAAACGGAGAGGTTGTTGGTCCAGGACACCCCTTAAGTCCTTGGTTTGGAGTATGAGGAGGATAATGGTGCAGGCACAAACTAATGGACGTTTCTAGCAATCATGTTCTGGTCTCAGGCACATGGAGTGCGCGCACCTCAAGTAGTATACACATAGGGACCATCACTCAGAGAACCCTACTTCAATAAAAATGCTAGCCGTATTGGAAAGTCCCTTTGCAGACTGACTCTGAAACAAAAAAAGTATGGCCTGCCACCACAACCGATGTGAAGTACTGAAGTTATCTTCCCTCCAATATTTATTCACCGTATGTTTTCCTGCTTTAATTTCTAGTTGCTCCTCTACTGCCCTGTAGCCTCTTTCACTTTATCATGAAGAGGTATTTAAAAGCAATATCATGTCTTTGCAGAGCTTTGCATATACAACTTCCCATTTGTATTGCTTATAATCCTCTGAATAAAATCTCTCCTTTTCCCCACTCCCAGACTTCACAAAATCCAAAATTCCATGTTTATCGTCAAAGCTGGTAATCTGACATTAAGGTAAGATGGGAAGTTCTAATTTTATCAAGGGGTATAAAATGACTGCTTACTAATTCTGAGACTACTCAGCAGGTATGCTTCTGCCATTAAAATGAGCTCTCCACCTATCCTACTTAGTATACAAATCTCATTTTATACATCAAATGCATATTTGACTATTTTCAACTGTCCACACATTTTATATGAAAAATAAATGGGTCTGTTCTCTTTAAAGAAAAAGATTTTACAGATTTTGTATAGCCTTTTGTATCATGCTTTTTTCTTTTCTCCCATCTGGTGTTTCCGCCTCTTGTTAACAGGAGCATGTGAAAGGTTTCCACCCCTGACATCTTTCTGATCCTGTGTGACTCCTACATACTCCCACTAACACATTTTCTCTAGCATACTCCCACATTCACACAGCATGACTTCAATCAGCCATTTATTAGCTCATGCACACAAACGGTGTCTTCACTTCTGCATGTTATTTGCTGAAGTATATTTACCTTTGTCTTTAGAAATACCTAGGCCGATCAGCATTTACACTTAAAAGAAAATAAAAGCAGGGAACATCGCTGTTCGTATAAAAGACACATGAATGCTGTGTGAGAGACACACCTGATGAATACTTGTTAAAGGTACACTGCTCAATCTTTTTCCTGTCAGGTCCCCTGAAGCTGAATCAGTCAGCTTTGCTGGTACTCTCCCATGATGCGAAGTCAAAGTTTCCATGGAATGCCTCTGGATGGAAATGGCACACAGGGACTCAGGGGAACATTTTCAGAAGTGCTTACATAACCTGGATAACTAAGCCTCCTTTCCAAATGGGATTTATGCACATAGGAGACGAGATGCATTGAAAGTCAATGGGCCCATAGATCATGGAGGCACTTTTGAAAGTTTTACCATCCAGGCTTCTTTCCATTTTTTAATTTTCTAGTTTTCCAAAATGCAGCTAAATGAAGAAAGTAGAAAGACTAACATTACCGTGAACCCAATCCTTGCCTCAGCCGCCAACGGCTCTCTCTCACTATACCTCACCATGGCTGATCACCAGCCCAGAAGTGACACTAACAATTGCTCCCTAGTTTAGCTGAGCCGCTGTAACCAATATTGTGAACCCTAGGATAGCCAGTGTAATCACAGCTGACACTTTCTGAGTAGGGATAGATGACACGGGGCTGAAAAGGCCAGTGGTGTGACTAACTTAGGGTGTTCCCAATGTATCCCCATGTTTCATCAGCTTAATTGATGTTAGGATGATGGGAAATTTTTTCAGATTTTTTTCCCTGGTGTAGACCAGGCGTTAGAAAGAGAAGGGGAGTAGCCGTCCGAGTACAGAACTGAGAATCAGGAACACGGCTGGCTTTAGAACTTTTGGTCAGGCCTGCAGAAGAGTGTATTTTTTCCTAGCCCCATGTTTTCAACATAACCTATGCCACTATGACATCATCATATCAGCCTAAGGGGTTTGGGGACAGTTAGCTGCACGATCCTTTGTGGTACCTTCCACAAACTTAATGGACTCATTTTACATGGAAAGCGGCATTCAGAGGAGGGGGGATGGTTAGGTAGTAAGCCTTCTACTGCCAAAATGGAGCCTCGCTGCTTATTCTTGCAAAGTCAGCAATTAGTTTATATCAGTTTATGTTTGCAAGGCCATCTTTGTAAGGAAAAGGGATAGAAAACCTTTTGTAAAACAAAAGGTAAGAATCTCCTTTACATTATTTATTCCTCCAAATTTAGGGGGCCCATGGTCAGGAGCATCCAAGGATCTGGCAGTAATTCTTGGATTCAGTGGGTCTAACAATGCAGAGTTGCATGGCTCTCTTCCTTCCTTCCAGCTGCTACAATGTGTTATAAGACCGCTAAAATACATCAAATGATTTCCTAATATTACTTTTCTGTGCAAACAATAACTGCAATTGTCACAGAGATAATGTGTAATCCCAAATGGGGGAGGAGATAGCACAATGGATTGCAAAGGGACTGGATGGGTCCAAGAGACACTCACTCTACTAAGGTGAGGGGTCCTCACTACCAAAGAGTTTAGGAACATATGATCTATTCTAGATGTTTCAGGTACTTCAAGGGTGCCCATCACCTTAGTACAGAAGTACTAGTTTTAGCTCTTAAAACGGACTCTCTTGTGACTTTGGGTATTCAAAACTTCAGTTTCTGTAAAAGAATAACATTTATTTCCCTCTTTCATGGAGGGCTAGGGTCCTTCAGATTTAATTACTTAATTTTAACACAATGCTTTGAAGATGAAAAGCCTTATATTAAAAGTGCTTAGTATTATTATTAGTTCCCTGACCATTACCAGTCCAGCCAGCACCGAAAGTCATGAAGGTAAACATAAGGACTTTTCTTGTAGTAGATGCTGCTGCAGGTTCTGATGAACCTTCTGACACTAAAAATGACCAGCTACATATATCAATCCAAGCGTGAAAATGAGTCCTCTGCATAGGAATCCAAGGATATCAAAGAACACTTAGTAACAAGGAAATGACTGACTATAAAGCCGAGCGGTGCTTTCATATGCCACCAGAATGGGACCAAATTCAGAACCTCAGTACTTTCTTCACTTGTTATGTTTCCTTTGATACCAGGAGTGATTAGGGACCCACTACAAGCAGGAGGGAATTGAGTATGCTGTGGAGCATAGTGGCCGGGGACCAGTACTTTGGACACTACTGCCAATAATATCAAGCAAAAGGTGGGTACCCACGAAGAGGGGATCTAATTTTTCAACTACTCTCCCCACCTACACTTTCTCTCCATGCTGTTCCTACACTGTCTGTCTTTGATACAGCATATTCCACCTAGCTGATTCTCAACGTTCTCAGCAAGACTAAGGCTTGGTCTACACTCACCCCCCAAATCGAACTAAGGTACACAACTTCAGCTACGTGAATAACGTAGCTGAAGTTCGAAGTACTTTAGTTCGATCTTACCTCGGTCCACACGCGGCAGGCAGGCTCCCCCGTCGACTCCGCGGTACTCCTCTCGTCTAGCTGGAGTACCGCAGTTGACGGCGAGCACTTCCGGGTTCGACTTATCGCGTCCAGACAAGACGCGATAAGTCGAACCCAGAACTTCGATTGCCAGCCGCCAAACTAGCGGCTGGGTGTAGACATACCTTTAGAAACAATCATTTAAGAGGCTAGCAGAAACCATTACCTAGTAAAGGTGGTCTTTTGCTCTTTATACAAGTCAAACAAAACTGTACTGGAAGCTGAGGGGATATTTAAAAGTGCTCAAGGGAAAAACTGCCTATTGGAGGGTGTTCTTAGTGTAGGCTAAAATAAACATGTATTTCTTGCTAATCTAATTTACTTATCCCTAGTTTTTCCATTGACTACCATTAAAATCTGTGCATGCTTACAAACTTTGTGACTTTTTTAAAGTGAGTGAACTTGCTGGCTAAATGTGTTTCCCCAAACTCTTAGAGCTCTAATGATCATACCTTGGCATGCTTCTTCTTTAAAGCATTCAGCTCTTTCTGTTGTTTCTTTAAATACTTTATGTATGCCTACAAAAAAGGAACTTGGATCAATTTTCCTGTAGTCATAATGGCTGACACCAGATAAAATCTTGCTGTTTGCAAATATATATATTGTCTTACAAAGTTTATGCCCAAACTTACCTTCATTTGCTTTAAATCTTCTATCTTCACTTGAGGAATAAGTTCTATACCTAAAAGGCATTAATACATTTTATCTGGAACTTCAAACACATTAGTACATATCACAGTTTCTGTATGTAACTTCACCACAACTTATATTTCTGTTAGACAGTAATTAATGTGTGTCACACTAAAAAGTATAATGTAAACAAGCAACCAATTGAGTTCCATTTAAAAATAATTTAATTATTGAGACATGGGAAAGGTATGTTTAATTTTTTTTTTCAACAGTACTGCACCATCCATCATCTTACTGGTGTAAGGAGAAAATAAAGCAATAGCTGCATGCCAATCTCCTTTCATTCCCAACTTAAGTGTCAAACAAGAACAAGAAAAGAGTTTGTAAAAATCTGGCTCAGAAATAGAGCAGACCATGTGTGCAATTTCACAGCTGGCCTCTTGTTAGGTTCTGGCAAATGCTGTTTTCACGGGCATATCTTAACATTCTTTCAGTTACAAAGTAGTATTTTAAATGTTAATATTGAAAAAATAAAGTCAATATGATCCCATGAGAAATCTACCAGGCAAGACCCTCCTTAATTCTTACATATATTAGTGATTGACCCAACATTTTATTATATACTGTTTAATTAATTAACTACCTTAGGGCAGGTCTACACTTCAAACACTGCAGTGTCACAGCTGTGCCACTGTAGTGCTTCAGTGAAGACGCTACTACACTGACAGGAGAGTTTCGCCAGTCGGCGTAGTTAATCCACCTATGCGAGAGGCATAGGAGAAGCCCTCCCATCGACATAAAATCATAGAATCTTAGGACTGGAAGGGACCTTGAGAAGTCATCTAGTCCAGTCCCCTGCACTCATGGCAGGACTTAGTATTATCTAGACCATCCCTGACAGATGTTTGTTCAACCTGCTCTTAAAAATCCCCAATAATGGAGATTCCACCACCTCCCTAGGCAATTTATTCCAGTGCTTAACCACTCTGACAGTTAGGAAGTTTTTCCTAATGTTCAACCTAAACCGCCCTTGCTGCAATTTAAGCCCATTGCTTCTTGTCCTATCCTCAGAGGTTAATGAGAATAATTTACCTCCCTCCTCCTTGTAACAACCTTTTATGTACTTGAAAACTGTTTTCATGTCCTCTCTCAGTCTTCTCTTCTCCAGACTCAACAAACCCATTTTTTTCAATCTTCCCTCATAGGTCATGTTTTTTAGATCTTTAATCATTTTTGTTGCTCTTCTCTGAGCTTTCTCCAATTTGTCCACACCTTTCCTGAAATGTGGCACCCAGAACTTGACACAATACTCCAGCTGAGGGCTTTTTTTGCAATAATGTTACACTGTTGACTCATATTTAGCTTGCGACCCACTATGACCCTCGCAATCCCTTTTCTGCAGGACTCCTTCCTAGGCAGTCATTTCCCATTTTGTATGTGTGCAACTGATTGGTCCTTCCTAAGAGGAATACTCTGCATTTGTCCTAACTGGATTTCATCCTATTTCCTTCACACCATTTCTCCAAAAAAACCAGGAGTACTTGTGGCACCTTAGAGACTAACAAATTTATTAGAGCATAAGCTTTCGTGGGCTACAACCCACTTTTTCGGATGCATATAGTCTCTAAGGTGCCACAAGTACTCCTGTTCTTTTTGCGGATACAGACTAACACGGCTGCTACTCTGAAACCATTTCTCCAGTTTGTCCAGATTATTTTGAATTTTAATCCTATCCTCCCAAGCACTTGCAATGCCTCCCAGCTTGGTATCGTCCGCAAATGTTATAAGTGTACTCTCTATGCCATTATCTAAAGTATTGATGAAGATATTGAACAGAACTGGACCGAGAACTGATCCCTGCAGGCCCCACTTGGCACCGTCTACACTGGGCGTTAGGTTGGTATAAATGCGTTGCTCAGGGGGTGTGGATTTTTCACACCTCTGAGTGACGTAGTTATACATATATAAGTTTATAACGTAGACCTGGCCTTAGTGTCCTTTAACTGTAAAATTGCATCTGTCCTACAAAGGATTATCTGCCTTGTAAGGTGAATTCCACTGAACAACATTCAGATCTTGCAAAATAAAGACAATTTCTGCAGAACAGGTGAAATTTTAATCTATTCAGCCCCAATAATATATTATTTCTGAGTTAGCACCATAAATGTGCCTGGTGCTTTATAAGACACAAAGGCAGAGGGGGAAGTTTTCAAAGATATAAATAGGAGGTTAGGCACTTGACTCCTATTGAAAGTCAATGGGAGTTGGGTGCCTAGCTCTCATTTGTGCCTTTGAACGTCTCCCTCAGGCTCCCTTTCCTTGCTGGATATGTAACTTCTCTTGACCTCAATGTGAACTGTGCATTTTAGTGTGGGCAGAATGATGCGGCTATTAACAAATAATAACAATATATAATAGGATAATAAGGATAGTCACAAATGACCTGCTCTATTATTCCTCAAGTGGATAGGAGAGAAAAAGGGGATGCAGAAGAGATGGCACATGTACAATGAAATCATAGCTTCAGAAACAGTGCTGCACAATGTTTGTTGTGATCTAAAAAGAGAGATTCAGATTTTATTTTAAAACGCAGACTCCCTATTCATGCTTACTGCTTTGTTATTATATGTGTTGAACTACATTTTCAACCAATAATGATTTTTCAGTAATCAGCCTGAAAATATATTTCCTCAGCCTCGTAACTGCAAATTCACACATGCTCCTAATTAATATACAATAAGGTGACTACCACACTTTTGTGATGAAATATGAATGTCTACAATTCAATATGTCATTCTTTTTACATTTATATCATAGTATCCCAATTCACAAAAAGGCTGTTTTACTGGTATAGGGAGAATGAAGTACTTTAGATTCCAAACCTGACCTGCTTTACTCTGAGAAGTGACTATAGAAATGTCATCCTCTTTCCCAACAGCTCTGCTTATTTGTGTATTCAGCCCTACCTGCTAACTTTCATGCCAAAAATAAGTTTGTGCTGCTTTTTACTTGTGTTATCCCTGCAAAACCAAGGCAGCCACCAGCGAATGAGCTGGATTCTATTCCTTCTGGCACATTAACAGAAATGTTTACCAAGTTTCACTCAGTTATACCTGTGCAAACCCATTTGGCCCCACAGACCCTTTATTATCTATGATGTGTGAGAGAGAAAGAACCCTCTTGGTTCTCAAAGACGATTTTGCAGGACAAGCAGTTAGGAAAAAAACACCTATCTGCTTATAAACTGAGCACATTTGATATGGAAATATTTGACAGTAAACATGGGTGCCCACAATGCCAGTTTCACAGACACTTTTTGGAATACAGCCACACTTTAAAACATTTCTAGTTTGATGGGGGATCCCCACAGAATCCTAAATACCTGGTTTTTATTTAAATCAACCACTCTGCTGAGGAATTTTTAAAACAAAAGAATTTTTGTGAAGTATACAAGAAAACAGCCTTCCCCACTAGTCCTACTGTAGTAGATCATTAATAAATATTGTTCCCAATGTCATGCATGTTCCTGCTGATAGCATTGACTACACTGGTGCACAAACATGACATTTATTAAAATCCAACCATATTGGCTTCTGCGCCAAGAGAAATATGGATAGAAGAGTATTTGCCAAGTGGACAGAGACACCACTAGTAGAGAAAGATGTTACTTTTTGAGCTTTTCAGAGGGATTAGAAACTATAGGAAGTACAAAACTAAAAACAATGAGGTAGTACTTCTTAGTGTCCTTCTAAACCAGTGGTCCCCAACCTTTTTTGTCTGGCGGGCGCCGGATGATGAGCCACTGAGGACCGTGGCCGGCGGATGAGCAACCGCCGAAATGCCGCCGAGAAGCGGGAACGTCAATAGGCGTTGCTGCCGAAATGCTGCCGACAAGCAGTGTCATCCAGAGGCGTCGCCGCCGAAAATCAGCGGCATTTCGGCGGCAACGCCTCTGGATGACGCTGCTTCTCGGCAGCATTTCGGTGGATGCTGGTCCGCCGGACAGTACGCGGGCGCACATAGATGCCCCGGCGGGTGCCATGGTGCTCACGGGCACTGTGTTGGGGACCACTGTTCTAAACCATTTAAAGAAGAGAAAGCTCGTTTTCCTTTACCTTTCTTAGTTTCCATCCCAGGTCCGAGGCCGGAAGTGGTACTTGGTCTAAGTTCAGAACTACTCTGAGGAGTCACACTTGCTTTGGCATTATTAGCTTTTCCTTTCTTATCATTCTTTGTGGTGTCATTTGGTACATCAGCTATATCACTCTGGAAAAAGCATGATTACAAAATATCATTTGCAGGGGGGAAAGAAACGAAGTCATTTACTTTTAAAGAAAATTCCCCATATATTTGCTAATACTTCTAGACAAAAATTATTTTCAGATGAAGAATTTATAACTTATTTTTACTGAAAATTAATAAGGATGTCTCCTTTCTAATTTTAGACACATAGATGTGCTGCCATGACTGATAAAAAATCCCTCATGACTGTGACTATATTTGGAAATGCAGTGAAGGATATTTTAATAAATCTGACAACACATGTTCATGTATTTAAGAGTAGAACAGTTCTATATTTGAAAACAGAGATTAAGAGAATAACTTGCATTAATGACCAATTAATCAACAGGAGAACTGTCCAAACATTGTGGCCCAAATCTCATTGCAGTGGTATTATTTCTTGTAAAGTGAAGCCTGTATTTTGCATTGTCCACTACATGAAATTATTTTGCCTACGTTCATAATTAATTTCTACTTACAGTTTCAATACCCATAGCTCTCATCTGGTCTGCTCTTTTTTCCATGACAGATAAAAATTTCTTTGGATCTGATAAAGCATCCACAATATCTGAAAGAAAATTGAATATTTATCAGTTTTTCAATATTTTAAGAGTCATTCAAAAAGCACAATGTAATTTAGCTTTCACAAAGGCTTTATTCTGTTCTCGCCACATGTTCCACTGTCCTCAACACTGGGCCAACTTTTCATAGTAAACTTGGTAGGAGTGGGTAAGCTTTTTTCATTTAGTCTCTCTCCCTTCCCTCATGACAAGAGAGAAAAGGAGATAAAAATTTCATGATTCAGTAAAGGCCTAATCCAAAGCCCAGTGACGTCTATGGAAAGACTCCCACTTCAAAGGGCTTTTGACCAGGCCATAATAATAATAATAATAATATAGCACTTTTCATTAGTAGATCTTAAAGCACTTTATAAAGGTGATCAGTAGCATTGTTCTTATTTTACAAATGGAGAGGAAACTGAGGCACAGGGAAAAGTGACTTGCCCAAGGTCATCTAGCTGCCAGTGGCTGAGCCAGGAATAAAACCCAGGTTCTCTGAGTCTCAGGCCAGTGATCTATCCACTAGGCAACACTGCCTCCCTTCAGATATAGGTTGTATTTTTTCTCTTGGTTGCCGAAGAGCATGCTTATCAATTTGGAAGTAAAGATGCCTTCACACAAGTCGTTCTGGTATTTTCCATGGCTCATAGGTGAAGGGAACTAATTGTTTTACACGGATGGCCTAAACAATAGTACAAGTGACATCTTTTACTTACAGAATTCCTCCTGTATGACTCATGACAGCACTACTACTCATACCACTCACCCTGCCAAGGCCCAGATGTGGGATGCAACGAGAGGGCTATAAACCAATTAATAAGTTAGGATTATATTGTGACGCCTTCTACTGTTTCCTCTTCCACCCGTCTTCTCTGGGACAGAATGTCCAGAAAGCTGCTGCGGGTAGGAGAAGCTCATTTAGACGTTCTCTCTTCTACCCCTGGCCCTGAGTGGTTCTGCTGCCCGCTATTAGATAGTGGTTGTGAAATCATTTTACAGTCTTACCTACTTGTGAGTCTTACCCTGGCGTAACTATCCGCCATAATTTCTCCCCTAGTGCAGACTTTATACCTGGTATAACTTCACAAATTAGTATTCTGCAATTGCCTTCCCTTAACTCTGCCAAAAGAACTTAATAAACCCTCTTCCCTGTCCTAGAAGCATCCCAGCTCTAAGGAGTATTTTTCACCTTCTTTTATTTACACTGCACATAAGTGCATCCACTTGTGTATTTAGATCTTGATTTAACAAGGTGCCTAAGGTCACGCCAACTTGAAACACGAGGGCAGTCCAAATGACTTCAGTAAAACTACTTGTGTCTTTCAAATCAGGCACAGGCTCGAGTTCTTTGCTGAACTGAGGCCTGATCATGGACCACGGAAGAAAAGAGGAGTTTTACTATTTGCATCAACAGGCATGGGATGAAACTGTTGAGGGCTCGACGTGGCAAGCTCTTTGGAGCAGGTATAGTTTAACCACTGCACAGCGCCATGTGCATTTACAACACGATATGAACAACAGCATCCCTGACTCCCTTGACAGTCATGATAAACTTTCACTTTTACCATATACAGTGTTTTATACTGGTTAGTTGAATCAGGAAACACCTTTTTGACAATTTAAGTCCTTAATACATGGATGGCCCCATTTGTGATCTTAGTTATTCTAGTGGCAAACTGGGTGTGATATTGGAATCAGGCCCAAAGAGAGTATTGCTAGTTTTATGTACTTGTCTCTTTGCTATACGGCAGTGTGTAAAAATCAATAAAATTGAAATTAAATTAACATTTTCATCCCATAAGAAATATGATTTTATGGATTATGTGTCATGGGTTTTGTGTACGTAGCTATTCATGTACAACTGTATATCGAGAGCTACGCAGAGACATCCGTTCTTGCTTCTACTGCAAATGTATCTTTTCAGGCCTTGATTTAAAGATGATCAAGTAACTCACAAGTGGCAAAGGCATAATGAGAAATGCTGCGTGACAAATTGAATTGATTTTAGTACCTACAATAGTAAAGCATCTACAGAGAGTAGCAATGACCTGGTGATCCCTATGTAACTTTAACTTCAGTAATACTCAAGAAGACCTGTACAGTGAAAAAGTACATCAGCCGAAAGTGAAAAGAGTCCCTAAGGACATTCCTTTGAGCAGAATTACCATTTTAAGGATGATGGGCTTTCATGATACGGAAGAAGACAACCAGTCACGCAGGACATTAATGAGTTGAAATATAATTAATATTTTAATGTTTCAAGATACTGCCCCTTTCCTGCATGTGACTATTAAATGGGCCTCCTAGTTGAAGAAGTATCACACAGAAATCCCCAGAGTGCATCCATTCTCTTGTCTAAAAGCTGTATCTTGATTCAACCATTCATTATAAAATATTGTACATAATATGCCTGAGCTTTTGCCATGATCATCCTGGGAGTCATGGATGATGTTCTTACTTTACTGTATTTTGGGGGAATGCAACTGATTATTGAGATGAAATACAACTAAACCTTTTCTCACATGCTGGAAAGAGAGTAGTGAGTTCAGTTACTGCCCCTCAAACACAACACCATGTGCATAGTGGATTCTTTCTGTTCAGAATGTTGTAATGTAATAAAGAAAATCCATCTTCCAGTTGCTTATCAGTAAAGATAAACCTTTCTGTGGACTTTCATTCCAGATAGTCTCAGTAATGTAATGGCTCTGTACTTCTAGAGCGATGGTTTTGGAAGTCTACGTTTTCCTAAAGATCTGAATTTTATTTCACATACCAGAATCCTGTCTCATGTCATAGCTGTTTTCAAAGTAACTAGTAGTGATGTCATAGATAAAACACGGGACTAGGGCCGCATGTACCAGTCCAGGAAAAACATATTAACCAGTTCGAATTTTGGGGATAATCTTGCTTATAGTCCTTACTCATGCAAACTTCCCACCGAAGTCACTGGAAGTTTTGCCCAAGTCAAGAATGAAGGATCAGGCCTTCTGTCCTTAGTATCTACTTGATCTGTATGTGAAGATAGTTTGTGCGAGATACGAAAGCTCCATTAAATAATATTTTTCACCTAGACAGCTCAAGTTAACCACCCAAAACCATCCAATACCACTGTTCCCCACCAACTGGTATCTTCTCTCTCACACTCAGCTGTCCTTCCCACAAATATCAAATGGACAGAACTTATCGCAAGCACATAATGGCCCCAACAACCTGAATATTTTCCCTTTCTTTTAACTGAGCCAACTACCCTTCCAATCCCTAGAACCTACGCTTCAATGAAAATCCATGCCTGCCTTGATCCTGCAACCATGACATAGTATTTGAAAATGGAACTTGAATATTAAGAACTTTCAAGTAAAAAAAACCTCCTTATGTGTGTGGGAGAGTGAGACCTTTGCAAATTTTGTTACTAATCATTTATATGCTGTGCCAAAGGCTCAGCGTTTCTACTGGAAGTAAGTGATTCACAGCTCTTGTCTACCCCACCACTTGTCCTCTGCTTAAATTTTCCTTTTTTGTGGTCTTTTTGGCAAGGTACAACTGAATACCAAAAAGTTTTAAAACTATGAGTTAAAAAACAAACCAAAAAAAAGTTGTGTTTAATCAGTATAACCTTGGGAAGCATGTGTTATAGAAACAGAAGTCCCATCACGACTATATATAATAGTGTACATAATAAGTAAGCACTATCTATATATTATAAAAGACTTCTCGTTGAAGTCTGCTGCCTCATTATGGATTTCTTCAGAACAGTATTGTGTACCATTGGCTATTAGGAGCAGGGGTATTGAAACAGATAAACCATAGAAAATCAGCAAACCACACCAAAAAAAGACAATGGTGCATATTTTTTCCTAACCCTATCATGAAGCAATCATAAATCATTATTATTTGGCATGAGAGATGTTCTTAAATCTTACTCCTACAGGTTAAAAAGGAAAGTAGCTGAAAATTAAGATTCTTGATATTTTGCCAAAACAATCTAGCTACAAATCAGAGATCGTAATTGTAGTTCATAAAACAATGCAACATTCAGAACAGATGACAAGCACTCAAAACCCACATGTAAATATAATAGTAATGATGCCTTCTGAACATCAAAAGTAACATCTCAAGGCTCTTTTGGTCATCAGGCTATTGCTCAATATCAATGAGAAAATATAAAGGGTGACAAGTCAAAAATGACAGTCGTTGGGAAAAGAGAAATAACAACTGAGCTTGTTGAGTTCTCATTAGTACAGAGCCCATTTCCCCTACACAGGCACCAAGATATCACATATCGTTTCCTCATCCTAGCAATATTTCACTTTAATGATAAAGCTACTCGGGGTAAACATTTTTTTCCCCTTCACATTCTGACATCTTACAGATAAACCACCTGTAGTAATGTTGGCAATTTAGAAGATCAACCGACACTGAACTTTTACACAGCTTGCCTTTTACAAACTGATTTTGAAATTCTCTATGAAAAAAAAAAGTCTGTATCATTTCTGGATTTGTGTGTGAGCAGTACAATTCTTTAAAAAACTCCCAAACTCTGCAAATTGAAGAGTTAATAGTAAACACAATGGAACTTCATTTATGTCACATTAACTGGGTTCCAAAACTTTACAAAATTAAGGTTCCAATTCAGGAACTCATCCTGATTCAGGACAGAGCTTTGAGCATGTGCGTACGTGCTGTCCAGAACAGCATCAACTGAAGTACATGCAAAAGTTCTTTTCTGAATTGGGGCCCTTACTGGTAAAAATTGTTGGTTAAAACTCATTGAATGAATACCTTGGGTAAGTGCCTGGTACCAATCAAATCAATGGCAAACCTCTCATTGATTTCAGTGGGGGGGGGATCAACATTTAACTTATTATTTTTGCTCTAAAAGGCCCTGATCCTGCAAACAATTATGTATATGCTTATCTTTAGGCATGAGAGTAGTCTCATAAAAGCCAGGACCTATGTTTTTTTCTTAAAGCTTGGTTGTAAATACTAGCAAATGATGAATATAAGGTTTTAACGATATTTGGTAAAATTAGTCCCTTTAACAATTTCGTGCACACTCTCTTTCTCTACTTTTTACTACTGAAAATCCAATCCACATTAAAGTTCCAGTAACTATTTTGTACATTTTGAATTAGTTTTACAAAGAGCAAAAAATTATTTTTCCAACAAGGTTTCCCAAAAATCTCTTTGAGGGTGAAGTTCAGAGGGACAGAACAAGGCCTATGGACCACTTAAAATCCAATGTGAGCCCTAATTTGAGGTCTTAAGTGGGATACAGGCGGTACATGGGCCATGCACTAGCTCTCTATACAGGAGCAAATTTCATCCCACCTGAAAAAAACCCAAAACATTTCTCAGCAACAAATGCTTAATGAAAGTGGAAAACTTCCAGTACACTTACCTGCAGTTTAAAAATACTAAGACCTAGGGTAACTAAAATACATGTAAATTAAAGGAGCACATCCATGCTCTTCTGCTACTCTGCTGCACTAGGATTTGCTACCTAATCTGCATCACGGGTAGCACAATAATGGTGGCGTAACTTTGCTGGCAGTTCTTGGTGTTTACTGCTATTAGACCTAGACCTCTACTCAAGACTTCCGTGACTGCTTTTAAGAAGTGGTTTCAATAAAGTTATGCTGGTATTTTTTATTCAAGCAAACATACTGATACAGCACTGTTGTAGGAGCAGTGTCAGAGACCTATCTATCATAATACTTATCTTGAAGAGATAAAAGTTTGTCTTGTAAAGAGAAAAATAACTAGCGCGAGTTTTCAGAGATCAGGCATAGATGGCTATCTCAGGGCACCGAAGATAATAAGGGTGGCAACTTTAACACTGGCAGTAGGGTTGCCAACCTTCCAGGATTGGCCTGGAGTCTCCAGGAATTAAAGATTAATCTTTAATTAAAGATTATGTCATGTGATGAAATCTCCAGGAACACATCCAACCAAAACTGGCAACCCTGTCACTAATAAGTGATGGCTAAGATTTAATTTAAAGAGTGGTTTGAAGTATGCAAAACTGGGCGGTGGGAAATCACTTGTAATTGCAAACTTTATAAACACTTGAAAATTTGGCATCTTGCATGTCCACTTTTCAGATCAGGAGTATTTAGAAGAATATTAAAGTACTCTTTAAAAAAAAAAAAAACCCACAGCATCTTGATATCTCCTTTAACTAACTACAATATATCAATTAATATATCCAATGAGTTCTTTCTAAAGAGATGAAGAGATTCTAAAGAGATTAAGTACTGGCAAACTGAACAAATTCAGGTAACCTTGGGAAATGTAATTCTAGCTTTGTTTCTTCCCAAACTAATATAAATCACTATCTTGATTTTGAAAGGCTACACTCTTCATTGTTAACATTAAGGCATTTGAGACAAAAGTAAAGATATCTTAACCATATATAAGAAATTTTCCTACAGATTAGCAGAGATAACATTTTTCCAGACCTCCAGGGATCACGTATTTTCTATCGCACAATGCACTTATATTCCTTGCATACTAAAACCCAAGATTCACAAAGCTGTAATATGTGTTTCTTCTTACCTCCAAAACCATCAGGCACATATGTTTTGAGCACAATGTTGCAGAAAACTGTGGGCAGTGATAGTGGTTTGTTGCCTTCATTTCGAAGGGAAATGTGTCTGTAGCCTGCCTGAAGGCCATCTAGAGGCAGGATCCTCTGACCGATCAGCCTGTTGTTGTCGTCATACACTGCTATTCTCAGAACAGCGAGATCAGGTAGAATAACCTGGGAACCATCAAATAAAGACATTCACTGACTCTTACAATGTTTTAAATTCCCCAAGTACCACACTTGAAAGCATCCAGAGATCACACAACATAGTGGATGTCCATTTCCATTACTGGTAAGTCAGAAGCACAGCCTACTTATCTCTGTTAGACAATACCATCACTCTTTGCTGGATGCAAGCTGTACACTTTCAGGCATTACTGGAAAAGTTTAGTTTCTCTCTCTCTCTCTCTCTCTCTCTTTCTTGGTGTTCGTTTTTTGGAGCACAGAAATTGCTCTTTGAAGAATTCTCTAGATTGTAATCAAAACAATTAAATAGTTTGCTTATTTATTTTTCATCGCTGGAGGCCAGTGACCCCTGAAAGTGGGCAGGGAAATACGACGTGGGAGTAGCAGAGACACAAACTGGTCTCTGGTAGTCGAAGGCAGATGGGTAATGCTGGGGTGAGGGGAAAGGCAATGACGGGGGTGGTGGTGCTTGGAAAGGACATCAACAATAGAATAAGGGTGGCGAGAAGGGGGAAGAATAGGGTGTTACACACTGTCTGTAGGAGGGAGATTCTGGGGGGGGAGAGGTGATGTGAACTCAGCTGGAGCGGTCTGGTGGGGAAGAGGGTGACACGTACATCATAAGGCAACTGAAGGAGGGCAATACACAATGGGAGGCCTGGTGCTGGTGGGGAACACTCTTAGCAGGGATGGGTGCGAGGGTTCGCACAGAGGGAAGAGGTAGAGGTTGCTGGACAGTAGGTACCTGAAGCTGTTCATAGGAGTGACCCTCATTCATGTGAGCAGTCACACTGAAGCAAAGGGTACCGGAACCTGACAGTTCCCATCCTGACCAACAAAAGCAACAGCAGAGACTCCTTTCGCTCCCACCTGAATCCAAAAGGGCTAACCTGACCCCTGTTCCACCTGCTTCCTCAGAAGGGTGAGCAGGGATAGGATGGGAGGAGAGAGGATTCCCTGCACGGGAATGTCTGAACGGGGCAGGCCAGCAATCTTTCATTCCCAGGCTGCCTGGACTGCAGGCCAGAAAGGGCCCTGACAGCAGGAGTGGGTAAGAGACAGAGAGAGGAAAGGAATAAAGAGGACCTGACCCGGAAAGGAATCAATACTAATTAAAATGATACTTAGATATTACTACTTTCCTTTCTCTCTCCACCTGGCTCTATTCATTGATGCCTGAGACTGTCACTCAGGGAAGAAAATAAAACAGATTTTTCCTCCCTTGGACCCGCTGCCTTCAGTTTAAGCCTTAAGTAAAGAGTATAGAAACAAACAGCTTTTTGAATGCTGTGCATGTCTGAACTATTCACAGACACCACAGTTAACTGGCCCTGTGAAGTACTGTCTGACTGACCAGAGGTAAGCGTCAACCCCTCCCAACAGAATGACAACACAAACTTGGGTTAGAATGGCAGAAGCTTTAATATCAAACAGAACAGTCAAACAGAATTCACACATTACCTGCTAGCATTTGTGTAGGGTTAATGCCATCATGGGAGGAGCCCCAGGCCCCAAGCTGACCCGACTAGGGCCACTTAAACAGCATGGGTAAAATCTTCCCTTTACATGTCACAGGCCAGCACACCGTTCATTATGTGATGGGCCGTACTATACCATTGCTCTCCCTGCTCATCACTGGCGGTAGAAATTCAAGTCCCTAGCCTGTTGTTAATTTTAACTCCTCCTCCATGATCATGGGAGGATACCAAGGAACAAATGCCCCTTGGTTGTTTACTCATATTATACTTACAAGGGGTCAAGTTGTGACAAATGAGTTATTATGGGATTGGTGTGGCAAATCATAGTTTACTGTACAAGCATGTGTCCTCTGAGTGGGAAGAACCCAAAGGGCAGCAGATGCTGGTCATCTGGTTACCCAGCCCAGGGCAAGGATGCCCATCTGGGACTGCCCACAGTGAACTTAAAGCATTTCCTCTTGCCCATTTCCTAGGCCCCTATGCAGGAAAGCATCTGAGCACATTCTTAAGTTCATCCCTGTTCAGGACACCATTAAACATGTACTGAATAGTGATGCGTTCCGGAACTAGGGTCCCAGCAGCACAGCATGAGGACAAGTCACCTCCCAGGAGATCTGAGTCCACTACATTTGCTACACTGGAAGCAGATTATCTGTGTTACACAATATACATATAAAAACAGTATGACCACCAGGCAAAACCTGTCACGAAAGAAAAACAGTAAAAATTCTGCAGGACAACAGAACAGGTGAAAGAAAAACACACATTATCAAAGACAGCACTGTTAACGCATGTATTTTGGATGAAACTTCAGTTGACAAAAAATAAAATAAAAATCAGACTGAGAGATAAAAACTGAACATTTGAGATGATGACTGATCTCCCTTTGGGAGTCCACCATACAGTACCAGGAAAAAGGTGGTGGTGTGTTTTTTTTGTTTTTGTTTTTGAAGTACATGATACACATGGTCTACAGGAGAAGGGAGCTGGCCACATGTGTGAGGAACACAGCACCCTTCCATTTTTTCCATGTAATGACATTGACCTTAGCTTTGGATGCAGCATCTCACCTGCCCTCTTGGCTGAAGGAACAGTGCAAGATAGCAGCCACTGTCAGGGCAGGGAAGAAGACATCTCCAAGGAATGTTGGTGTCCACCAGCTGGAGCTCATTCTGAGCAGACTGCACACCTGGAACACAGGCATTGCCACGAAGGACGTGGGTTCCTCCAAGAAGGAGGAGGAAGCAAAAAAGAGGGAAAAGCCAAACAGACAAAAAAAAAAAAAATCATGTGACAACTACAGAGGTTATCCATAAAAAAAAAAAAACTGTTGAAGTGTAATTCAGCCTTAATGGTTTACAGGTTTACTGTGGTAAACACGAGTCCTACAAATTTAAGGTCCAATCCTGCAAATCCTTGTTCATGGGAGTGACCCTTATTCATGTGAGCAGTCACACTGAAGCAAAGGGGATTGCTCATGCAAGTAAAGAATACTCACATGGGAAAAGGTTTGCAAGAGCAGGTTTCAAAACACCCAAGTGTACATTCAAAAAATCCTACCTTTCGAAATACAAATGATTCTTCATTGTAAACAGGGTTCAGGCCATTGTTCATCACCATGCGGGTTCGAAATTCTTTACGTATCGTGTCCGTAGGTAACCCGTACATATCCACTTCTACATATGTACCAATTTTTTTATCTGATAAGAACTGACCAGATATTACCTGAATAAAGAAGAAAAGGCATTAAATACACTCCTCTGATCTAAAGAAAGTAACAATATAAAACATACAGTACTTTATGGTGAGTGGAAACAATGTCACTTGTATTCTTTATCAAATAACAGTATTCACATACGTTCATTATACAGAGCAGTCAGTCATTTAATAGTGTAATTTTTTTCCACAGCATCAAATAACCACTAAATTTCATGTTGGCATATTTGGTTTTGTAAATAAAAAGGTAATTCTTTAAGATTTTTATGAATATGTGCACACACAACAAATTACAGCGTGTAAATCAATAATGAATTTGGCCTATTTATACATATACTAGTACCACTTATTTTTAAAAATTAGATTCCATGTTGATATTATGCATCTGTATGAGTAACAAGTAAACAGCGTCTTTTCTGATACGATTCCGCTTTTCTATTTTGGGGGTTTTATGCTGAATTTTAGCGAGAGGCCGACTGCATGTACATTCTAATAACAGCCCCATGGGAAAGTCATATTGTTCCCCCTACCTTTCAGCAGCTGCTGCTGTGCATGCAATATTCTCAGCTCCAAAGCCTCATTACAGCACAGTACTTAAGAATGGGTGTAAGTGCTTTGTTGGGTTGGGATCTCACTGCAAACATTGAGTGCTGAATAAACACACACGTGCAAGTGCACTATTGCGCAGTAGGTTTTATAGTGGTAAAGGCACTGGCTTTTCTCTCATGAACTTGTACGTTCAAAGCTTGGTTTGGCTCACAAGTAGGGTCTTTCTCTCAAGTTTGCCATATCAGATGAAAACATTGGCAAAGTTGGCAGATTTTTGCTCAAGGGGAAACTTGGCTTATAGCAGCAGATGAATCAATTCAGAACTGAGATGCTTTTTCTAAGTGGGACTAGATTGTTCCCTGGTAACAGGCATATGAAGGCCTTTCGCCTCTAGGTCACTGCCACTGTAGTAACCGCAAGTTATTGTAATCTCACTTACTCTGTTGCCTATATATTATAATAACTGGCACTAACAGACAAACGTGATTATAGGCGCCAACTTCTGCTGGCACCGGTGGGTGCTCGACCCCCCCCCCCTTTGCCCCCAGCGATCAACTGTTCTCCATGTTCACTGAAGACTGGCAAAAAATAAGGGATTTAATCTGCAGCAAGGGAGATTTAGGTTAGATATTAGGGAAAACTTCCTAACTATATGTCTGGATGTTATTGCTCTACTTTAGTTTCAGTGCATTATATTAGCCACTTCTTCACGGTACTCACTAAATGCGCAAATCTGTGCAATGCAAGATACTTACCAAAAAAACTAGTGTAATGGAAGCCTTTTACGGGATTCCTACATCTCTCTTCATACAAATATCTTGAATTTGCTGCAAATTTATTCTAAGTCCATATTTATCTGGCTACAGCAGGCCATTTTCCTGTGACAAATTTTTGTTTCACTAACATAAGCTTTTATTTGCCAACACAGTATATGTTGTTATTCTGTACTGTCAAGGATTGAAAGCAAAAATGAAACATATTTAAAATTGCACAAACCAAAGTTGATTTTGACCTGTTCTTTTCTGATGGGCAACGAAGTATCTGGTCTTACATTCTTTAATTACAGACAACTTGAAATGACTGAATTGAGAGACAATGAAGTCTAGTGGCTTGGTCACTGGACCGAGAGTCAAGACGCGAGTTCTATTCCCAGCTTTGTCACTGACATGCTGTAGGAGACCTCTCTGTGACTCTGTTTCCCCTCCCGCCTCTCTCCGTCTTCCCTATTCAAATTGTAAATGTTTGGACAGAGACTGCCTCTTCACCATCTAGCACAATGGGGTCCTGATCTCTATTGTGGTTTCTAGGTACTACTATAAGATTGACTCAGAACCAACAAATTATGAACACAATTACCTTAGGGAACATGTGTTCCTATTCCTGTTACCCTAGTCCTCCTTTCCCTACTATTGTTTGTTACATCTAGTTGTTGTGTCTTGTCTTAAACACAACTGTAAATTCTTTAGGGCAGGGACTGTGCCCTCCAGTATGTTTGTTCAGTGCATGGGGCCCTGCTTCAGAGTGGGGCCACTAAGTACTAACCCAATATAAATCATACGTTTTGCACTTACAGTAGCATTTTGCATTTATACAGCACTTTTCATCTGAAGATCCCATATGCTTTACAAAGAAGGGTAAGCTTTATTATCCCAATTTTACAGATACAGAAACTTACTGAGCACTCACATGACTTGCCCATCATCACACAAGGAGCGCAAGTGGCAGCAGAATTGGAACTAGGATCCATATATCCGGATCATAGAATATCAGGGTTGGAAGGGACCTCAGGAGGTCATCTAATCGAACCCCCTGCTCAAAGTAGGACCAATCCCCAACTAAATCATCCCAGCCAGGGCTTTGTCAAGCCTGACCTTAAAAACCTCTAAGGAAGGAGATTCCACCACCTCCCTAGGGAACCCATTCCAGTGCTTCACCACCCTCCTAGTGAAAAAGATTTTCCTAATATCCAACCTAAACCTCCCCCACTGCAACTTGAGACCATTACTCCTTGTTCTGTCATCTGGTACCACTGAGAACAGTCTAGATCCATCCTCTTTGGAACCCCCTTTCAGGTAGTTGAAAGCAGCTATCAAAGCCCCCCTCATTCTTCTCTTCTGCAGACTAAACAATCCCAGTTCCTTGAACCTCTCCTCATAAGTCATGTGCTCCAGCCCTCTAATCATTTTTGTTGCCCTCCGCTGGACTCTTTCCAATTTTTCCACATCCTTCTTGTAGTGTGGGGCCCAAAAGTGGACACAGTACTCCAGATGAGGCCTCACCAATGTTGAATAGAGGGGAATGATCACGTCTGTCCCTCGATTTGCTGGCAATGCCCCTACTTATACAGCCCAAAATGCCGTTAGCCTTCTTGGCAACAAGGGCACACTGTTGACTCATATCCAGCTTCTTGACCACTGTAACCCCTAGGTCCTTTTCTGCAGAACTGCTGCCTAGCCATTCGGTCCCTAGTCTGTAACAGTGCATGGGATTCTTCTTAGTCTGGGGATCTCTCTGCTAAATCCCATTGCTTCCACTGAGGTGATATAATCCTACACAAAACATGCCCTTTATTCTTATAATTGCTGATGTGAAACTTGGGTAAATGTATATAATGTATGACAAAAATTTTGCTTGGGAATGCAGTTTGGAATTTTCACATCTTTTCCGCTTCTGGATCTATATAAAGTGATCACTGAGATCAGAGCATTTTCCTGAGCGGCATTCTGACGTATCTGAGCTAATAGAGCACGGGCAGAGAGTAGAGTAAATACAATAAAAGGTCACTGCAACTCTTTCTTTCCTTCCTAAAGGTTGATAACCTCTATCCAGGAGTTTTATGGACTCTACTGTCTCTCAGATGATTCACAGAATTCAAAAAGTTAGGACCTCTGTAACTCACCTTTTCATAACATTCAAATTGGACATACATGAGGCTGCTCTATAAATGAAAAAAGTGTTTGTATTCCCACACACCCCACCTTCTGCACTACTTTTCCATAACTGATTTGCCACAACTAATTCTGCTGAAGCCTGGCGTTACCTTCTTTTGTAGAGTAGCCATAAGTGACACCATAGGGTGGCCATTTCTGAAGTTCTATATGTATTGAAAATGTCCTACAGAAAAATTTCCAATACAAAACATTGTCTGACTCTGTAGCAGCCAGTGGAACATACATGATTCTGAATTACCTGCAGGAATGAGTTCTTATTTTATTTTGAGATGACTGCTCAAAACCACCAAGAATAGCGGGGGATTTAAAATTGAGTGACACACTTTAAATGGATAATTACAAACCATTTCTAATTATATCCTGTTCTATTCAGCTCGTGTAAACACAGATGTCATAAACAGCAATCAAATAACAATAATTAGATGAATTAGATAGAACAATTTGATGAAACCCACAAATTCCACAGAAATTTGCTGTACATATTAGATTTCCACTTGTGTTTAAATGTGGTTTTGGATGCTCTAAGATGACTGCAGTCTCAGTTATATTTTACCTGTACTGAACACGTTGCAGCAATAACACCATCTACTGGCGTTTCAGAGAAAGGGTCAAATGTTCGATCTGGCCGTCGCATGAAATCTGGTTTAAGGAGATACCTTATTTTAAGAAAGAGAAGAAGAAATGTATTTACGTATGGAACTTTAAATTGCCACTTTATTTATTATAAGTAATATTGATGGTCTAGCTTTAACCAATGAAATCCCCCAGGGTATTTTAAAATACATACTGCCATTCTGATTATAATTCATGCAACTGTGAGGAAAAAAAAAAAAAACTAAGGTGATCCGGACTAAGTGTTTTTATTCAAAATTGTTTTTTAAAGAATCAGACCCCACCCCAGCCAAGATTTATTTAGTAAATTACCTCCGGAAGTGGATTTCTTCATCTGAATTATAAACCCTTGAGGAAAAGCACTGATAACGTTAGTACTGACGGACCCTTAATTATAGTGGTGTGAATGGTAGTGCGATAATAGCACTTACACTGCCTCCCTGGGGACTATGCCCTGGCTCAACATATCAATGAAACCCACGTGTGCACTGATGAGTAACAAATGAGGATTCTGATTTTAAAATAGAAAGGCGGTGTTCTGGAGTCCAGCTGTGTCAGAGATGAAGGGAATTCTCTCCCAACAATGGAAGAAAATGTGCAACTTGAATCATCCAGCCAATTCAGCAGCTATGCACAGATAGCAGCTGTTAGACGCTCATATTTTACTCATAACACCGTTTCTGCTAAGCATCATTAGTACAAACGGTTATCAAGGTCTAGACTGCAATCAGGAAAAATTAAAAAGGTGCTGGAGGAGCTATTAGGACAAAAAGAATCTCAGTTTCACTCTCTCCCGTTTTGACATCAAGTTTGGTTTCTATTAAGGAAAGTAATTTTCCTCAGCATTGTATAATGAGTGTGTGTCGCTTTCGAAAATGACAAGCCCATGTAATCATTTAAAACAGATATTTGGAGTGAAAGGGGAACTATTGGATATTTTTAGGATGCATTTTAGCCTTGATTGGCTGCGTTAAGGATCAGTGGGACGGACTGTGCTCTGACACTGATCTAAATCTGGAGTGACTCACTGAAGCCAATGGAGTAACACCAGTGTGAAACCGGGGCAGGTCAGAGAAGAAATCAGGAGGCCCATTATATCTACAATATACTCACAGGCACAGGGAGCAGAACATATCATACACGTTACATTTTTTTATTCCGTAACACCAGCACATTTCCACCAAACAGTTTGGTGCATAAATCAAGCTTGTTCTTTGGATAGTTCCAAAGGACTAAATAGCAAGTGCATTTTCATTGTGGTGTTGGGCGATGGAGCAGAGAGACCATGCATTGCCACCCCTGACTAATGGCGCCGTCCCAAACAGCTGCCAATCAAATATTTATACTGCATCAAACCTTCCATGTACTATGCATA